ACACACACACGCAGACGCACACACCCGAGGCGCGTGCACCTGGAAGACACACCGGCACCTGTGAGCCCCTCCTCCCAGGATGGAGCCAGCCCCCTCCCCCGCCCCAGCTGCTTGGGAGTCAGAGGACCAATACCTGACCTCGGCTTCCGCACACCTGACGGATGGCCCGGGCCACGCCCTCAATGGGGCTGACCCGTTGCCAGAGTTGCGACCTCCCTGGGGGCTCCCTGCCTCCCACCCCCATGTTTCCCGGGTCACACGCCAGATTTGCTCCCTAACCTCCATCGCAGGGCCGAAACACTTTTTTTTGAGTCAGAGTCTCACTCTGTCGCCCAGGCTGGAGTGCAGCGGCACGCTCAAGGTCATCCAGAGTCCACCTGCTGGGCTCCGACAATCCTTCCGCCTCAGCCTTCCAAGCAGCCAGAACTACAGGCGCGCGCGACCACGCCTGGCTTACTTTGTGATTTATCGTAGAGACGAGGTCTAGCTAAGTTCCCCAAGCTGGATTTGAACCCGAGGGCTCCTGCCACCCACCCGCCCTGGCCTCCCAAAGTGCTGGGATTATGGGTGTGAGCCACCATGACTGGCCTAGACTTTATTTAAAATTTTTTAAAATAGAGACAGGGTCTCACTATGTTGCCCAGTCTGGTCTCGAACTCCTGGCCTCAATCAATCCTCCTGCCTCAGCCTCCCAAAGTGCTGGGATTACCATTATATCCAGCTAATTTGTTAACTTAGTTTTTGGAGAGATTGGGTCTCACTATGTTGCCCAAGCTGGTCTCAAACTCCTGGCCTCAGGTGATCCTACTGCCTCGGCCTCTCGAGTAGCTGGGATGACAGGCGTTAGCCACTATGCCTGGTCAGTTTCTTTCTTTCTTTTCTTTTTTTTGAGTCGGAGTCTCACTCTGTCGCCCAGACTGGAGTGCAGTGGCCGCTCCCGGCCACCACAGCCTCGACCTGCTGGGCTCCGGCAATCCTCCCGCCTCAGCCTTCCAAGTAGCTGGAACTACAGGCGTGCGCTACCACGCCCAGCTAGTTTTTGATTTATTTGGAGACAAGGTCTTGTCAAGTTGTCCAGGCAGGTCGTGAACCTGTGGGTTCTGGCAATCCTCTCACCTTGGCCTCCCAAAGTGCCACAACAGATTCTTATATGAAAAACACAGACAGCACAGGCCCGGGTCACCCTGCCTCCCATCACCCTATTTTTTTTTTTTTGAGTTGGAGTCTCACTCTGTTGCCCAGGCTGGTGTGCAGTGGCAGGCTCACAGCCACCCAGTGCTGACCTGCTGGGCTCTGGCGATCCTTCTGCCTCAACCTTCCAAGTAGCCAGGACTACAGTTGTATGCTATCACGCCCGGCTAATTTTTTTATTGTAGAGACGAGGTCTCGCCAAGTTATCCAGGCTGGTCTCGAACCCGTGGGCTCAGGCCATCCTCT